AAGAGCAAAAACATCTTTTCCTCTGAGAAAAGCCTCCAGAGCAGTGTTTTGCTCTTCTTTCAGTGAAGAAATACTCTGTAATTCCGATAAAAAACTTGCTCGATAGCCACGCTAACGCTAGTTTCATCGGCTGAAGCCGCCATGTTCTTTAGACTGAATGTTGCGTTGCGTCACACCTCAACCCGCCTCAAAGCCAACGCTGATTGGACGTTCGTTTGGTGGAACTTTGGTGGTAAACGCCCAGTCTTCTCTTCCAATCCCAATTCTTCCTTTTTTTTTATCCAGATAGTCCAGTTTATATGTCTTTATTTTCTCCAACCAAATATGACAAATTGAGTAATGAGGTTACTTTGTAAAAATGCAAGGAATAGGAATAGAAAGTACAGAAAATTGCATGAAAATTTAAGGATTAAAAGTAAAAATCGACTGAAAAATAAAGTGTAGATAACCAAATGTTCTACTTAAGTAAGTCAACGAATCCACCTGTGTGGATGAGATTAGATGAAAGTTCTCTATATTAGCGGTAGCATCCAGATCGTGGCGTGAATCTTTGCTGGAATCCAGAGTCACACATCCATCCGATCTCATCCTTTGCTATGATCGACTGTGATAGCTGAAACATTTCTGTTCTGTCTTTCAGGTGTGAAGCAGCTGGAAATCATGTGTGGCTTTGGATGCATGTCTGTTTTAGCCAACTACTTTGTTTTTATGACTTTCTTCCCTGCGTGTGTCTCCCTGGTCCTTGAGGTAAGCCGCCTCCTGTCTCTGCACAAACATAGGCAGCCGAGGCAGGGAGACGTCTCTCATCATGTCCATCTTTTTGGCTCCAGTTGTCGCGTGAGAGTCAGGAGGGCCACCCCATCTGGCAGCTGAGTGACTTCTCCAGAGTGATGGAGGAGGAGGACAACAAACCCAACCCTGTAACCCAGAGGGTCAAGATGATCATGGTAACGTTCTGCATGCAAAGGCAATCCTCTCTCTGTGTGGATTCCCTCTGTAGTTGCTCCGTCTGAATCGTTGCTGCTTGCTGTGTGTGCAGTCTCTGGGACTGGTGATGGTTCACGCTCACAGCCGCTGGATTTCCAAACCGTTCTCCACAAACTCAACAGCCAGTAACGGACATATCGGCATGGAACTGGATCAGCTGTCTCCTAGAAGAATCGAACCAGAAATGCCACTCTGGCACTTCTACCTGTCCAGGTGAGGGTCATCTGGACACTTTTAACGGTTTTCTACCATTGCAGTCAATGGTTTTCTCCCATGATGATGTCACATCATTCTAATTTACAAAGATATCATGCATAAAAAAGTTGCTGATTTTCTTTATTTTAATTTTTGCTAACATGTTAGATCTTTTTATAAATTCCCCTCCCTGACAGAAGCTTCGTATCCCCACACCCCGAGCCAAGCCTTCACTATTTCCTGTAATGCTGATTCTGTGCGACAGTAACTGTACTTGAAAAAATGGAAAAGGGGGCCACACATTAAAAAGTGTGCATCTTAAAATCTCAAATCC